CGGCTGTTATAAAAGGTAAAAAAGAACACCACGAGTTAATAGTTTGGTTCTACGATTGCTTGCTGCACTGGAGGAAGGTCTCGCCAGGCCCATCTCGGTGGTATCTTCACCTCCTCTTCCACACTGGTCAGACATCCGGGGAGATGGAGGAGTACCCACACTTTGCCTCACCGCACTTGACCCGCCAATCTACGAACCGCGCCGCCGCCGCCATTATACCGCCGAGTTGGCAGTGGCGTATCGGATTCGACAAACCTGCCCATCGCTTCAGCTGCCTCGCCGCGAGATTGAACCAACGGCATCTGGATTGCAAGCCCAGCGTGATGGCCATTCCATCACGGCAGCACATCCCCCAGGCTGTTATAAACGAAGCGTTAATTCATGACCACAAGGCTTCACAGCTGCTTACTTGTATATTAACGGTTCCGTAGGAAGAGGAGGCCAACTTGTTCGGGTCAGAGCACTGGGCCAGCATCAAGACCTTGAGTTTGAATCCGGGGGCTTCAGCCGCCAGTGATAAAAGCAAATTCTCTCCGAGGAGAAGATTTGTTGATGTCAGACCAGTCCTCAGTGGCTGGCCAAAGTAGCCACCGCATTAAATCTGGTTTCCCCTCACTTCATCTTATTCCAGCTCTCGAGGCTTCAAAATGTCTGTTTGATTGACATGCCATTAGCAATCTCTTATAGGGCATTAAACTAGCTGTCCCGAGCCCGAGCGTGGTTAAAACGCCGCTCGAAGCGACTTTAAGTAGTCGTTGCGTGACTTCACCTTGCCGGGCCGTTTTCCCCACACACCGTTTATCTAGAGTTCCCCCGTGTTCATGTGTTAATCTCAAGACATAATTGGAATATGAAAAATAAATATAAACTTGCTAAATACATATATTCCCACGCATATATCGGTTCTCCCTTGCTACCAAAGGGCAGCGATGCATTCTTTCTTTTACACCACACCCAGAGAGCAAGGGGAATACATTGATCTTGGATCAGGCGAAAGTGGGTTTGTTGACATCTACCAGTAAGCAGGCGACGTGGCCTTTGATGCTTAGCTAGCGGCAAGGCTCGGACCACTTAAGATGGGGGGGGGGGGGGGGGGGCAACTTGGGAATGTTGGACCAAGGGCATTAGAGATTCCACAAACGTTCACGAAACTTTTCGTGCCCCGAAAAAATCCTGGCTGTGTTTCCAACCTTTTCGCTGAATTAGGGTAGACACTGTGCATTGCCAGACTCCATTGGGAGTTCAGAACCAGTGGTGGGAATTACATTTTCTTACGGTTTGGGACCGCACCGAGGGATGATTTGTGTGCTCGATGCAAAGCGTTTGGGCTGCCGAGTTCGCTGTTCGGATGTTTTGCAGAGGCAGATTTGTTGAAAATTCCTTCTAAACTTGGAGACGGATGCAATTTTATTTTTAGCGATTCTATCCCGGCTGAAACGACCGTGAGAGAGCGGTGCTCATCTCGCTGCTGGGAAATTTCACACGGCTGTGCCAGTTGCGGAAATTCCACATTGTATGATGGTGGAAGTCTTATCTGTAGAATGACTGCGATTGAGTTCCCGTGAAGTGGTGTTACGTTTCTGCCGTTAAAGCCTCGTAGTGATTCTTTTGGCCGGTGTCGGGATTTAGTTTCCCAAGCCACGTGCCGGGGCGCCACGCTGACGAGATGTTAACTACCTCGCCTGGTATACAGGAGGTCATGGGTTCGATCCTGACCTGAACGCGTGGCTATTTGGAGTTTGCATGTTCTCCCCGTGGTCACGTGGATTTTTCTTCAGGTCCTCTGGTTTTTCCCTCCACATTTAGACTCAACATCACTCGTTTAGAGTATTTGACTGCTATAAATTTCCACACGATAAGCCGCCACATCGTTGAAACTCGGTGGGCCTTACCTGGTAAAATAAATCTAGTTTTCGTTTAGTTCCCTGTGACGCAGCACAAGATGTTTGCGTTTGATTGAGTCTCGCTTTAACGAGGCTCCAGATATAGAGGATATTTGCTTCACGGACTGTATATTATTTTTCAGGGAGGATGGGTTTTTTTATTTGCATTGAAGATTAAAGCTTTGACAAATGGCTCGTCTGATCGTTTCACAAGGTCTTACGATCAAAAGAAATGTTACGTGTATTATGTATGACGGGATTTGGGGTTTTATATGTATCGTTGTAATTCTGCTGCTAAAAAGGTTCGCATTGATGCAAAGCCTAGTTTTATTTTTGTTCAGAGTTTCCACATTGTTTGAAAGGCTCACTCTTAATAAAGTTTTGTTCGTATATATTTTGTTTTATTCGCCCCTATTTATTGCCCAAAATTATTAGAACTGTTTGGTGCTAAGCCCAGTGGTAGAGGCCCCTAAATATTCTCCTCCCAGAGGCCACTCGTGGAGAATGACATTTTTCGGTCGTATTTTATTTTCTTCATTTGCCGCAGAAAATATTGCCCCTCATTGTAAAGCATAGGCAATAAACAAGCAGGAAGCGAGCATTCTACCGCATCAATTCCCACGGTGCTCTCTGACCCGTCCGCCTCTGGGTTTTTCTGTGATATTAATATTTTTTTGATTGCCGTCGGTCGTCCGCGTGGCTACGATTCGTGACGAACAGCTACCCGTTGTAGTTCCACTTTGATGTCAGCTGCCGGATAAAAGCTGTCATTACATCTGTGTGTGCGTGTGACTTTGCGCGCGTGCACACACACACACGTCACGTTTATGCGAAGTCGTGTGTCGAAGGCCTTCGACGCTTCACGTGGCCTCAAAGTGCACCTGGCCTGGCGCACGCGCCGCGGTGACGTCACCGTCAGCGGCGAATGGCGGGGTGTTGTTGTTGCATCGTGTGGATTTGTCGTGGCCTATCGCGCAGCCCAACCGTATGCTGCGGAACGCGTGTGAGCAAAGCCGCCGCGCTTGGCGTGCGGGAGACGATTTTACACGGGGATGCCGCTTTGGTAGTGGGGGCACAGATAACGGAATTCAGCACGGCGCTTGCACTTTCCACGCGAGTCAAATTTGAAGAAGGAAAAAAAACGCGGCACGTTCGTCAAAAAACACCGCGGCCTTGAATTTAAATATGCGCACAACGGGGTCACGTTTTGGGCAATGGGCCCCTCTTAATGATACACAAGTGATTCGTGTGCTGTAGGTCGACTTAGCCTTAAATGGTTACCTGGTGTGGTGCCATGTGTAAGAGTCGGCGCTTGCAAGACTTTGAAAGTGTGCGTATCAGTGGCCATACACCACCCCGTTACGTGCAATGCTGGCTTTAGCAGGTGCTCACTGAACAGCATTTCCCCCCCAACAGTCGATGAGGATACTTGCTAGCAAGGTGCACCTAGCCCGGCACCGATACGCCCAATGGGAAATTGCTGGCATCTTGGTTTTCATGTAGCGGTAGGATGGTGCGACGGCTAGCGCACAAGTCGTACGATCTCAGCAAGACTCATTTGATTTCTGCCCACGCGCAAACAACAACATTGGAAATTCGTACAGGGAACCTTGCATCGGGGGGGGGGGGGGGGGGGGCTCCCCTTAGGGGTGTCGGCGTGAAATGAATTCCTGCTGCTGCGTTGTGCCCGTGGCCATCGTCAGCAACCCGGAGACGGACGTGGACGTGTGTGAACATGCCGCCGGCCATTCCCATCTCCCTTGTGTGAGCCGCACAAGGGCCTTTTCCAGGCGCTCGCCGCGTAATCGCGCCACGGTGGCTAGGAGATGTTAACTCCCTCGCCTGGTATACAGGAGGTTCATTGGTTTTGATCCCGACAGTGACGCTTGCTGCTGTATATTTGGAGTGTGCGTGCCTCTCTCTCTTTCTCTGCCCGTGTTTGTGTGAATTTTTCTCCGGGTCCTCCGCATTTTTTCCTCGCATTAAGAATCGACGTACATTCAGAGTATTTGGCTGCTATACATTTCCATATGATAAGCCACTAAGTTGAGCTATCCTTTGTGTGGGAAGGTCGCTTCTGAAAAAGAGCTGTATAGCTCAGTGGGCCTTACCTGGTAAAATAAAAATTGTTTAGTTTAGTCTGAGGAGCCAAGAGAAGTACGTCAGAATCAGAATCTTTAATTTGACTGCAGGAGGAATCCGATGCGCAACGAAACTCTTGTTCACAGATGGCCAGTAGTTGTCCAATTGTCCTTGGATGGGATACGCTGACGCAAGGGGCCGTGATGTATGAGCCACATTGGCATTGGAATGGCAGCTCTAGAGAGACTGAGTGAGGTCCTTCCTGGTAGTCTGGGACCACGGGAAAAGGCGACGACTGCACGCAGAGGTCTTCATCCGGCAGTGAATAAACGATGATTATAATTATAAAATGTAGGCTGTCAGAGCTCGGACGTAATTTTGATGCTTGTTTATTGGCTTGGGTTGGGTCATGTGCTGCCAGTTGTGCCAAAGTTGTTTTCATTAACCCTCCACCATCCTACAAACGTGACGAATCTCCATATAAAACGTGCCAAAACAAATATGGATGGATGAATGATTGTGATGCCATTGGTGACGATCGTGTTTGTGCATGTGTGTGTGTGTGTGCGCACGCATATTTACATGGTGCATCTGCCAGCCATCTCGGTCAGTCAACCCATGGCACCTCGGTCTGTTCCGTGACGTCCTACCAGCGAGCCTTCGACACTACACGTGGTCTCAAAGTGCACCTAGCGTGGCACAGGCGCCGTGGTGACGTCGCCGCCACTTAGTTATGAACGGAGGTTGTTATATGTACATGTAGCCCATGATGTTGATCGACTCCCGATTCACTTGAGTGCCGAGCTATGTGTGCTTGTGAATGCCTGTATGCGTGGCATACCACCCAGCACTACTTCCACCACTGTGCGGCAGTGCGCAAGTATGTATGTTGAACTTCTTTCGCACCGTACGTAGCCAACCGTGCTAATCGGAGGTGCGGAGAGTGAGAACGCAGTGCGCTTCGGTGAGCCGCGTGCGTTCCGCTCGTACCGCCGTGAAGACTGACGCTCTTTGCTGCCGCCCTGTTCTTGGCAGTGGACGGATGCATCCACAGGTCGGCGGGGTCCCTGCTGAAGGAAGAGTGTCGCTCCCTCGGAGGATGCAGCACCGGCAAGGCCAAAATCACCTGCGGATACCGCTTGCCTTCCAAGTGTGAGTTGCGCTGCACTCGCCACTGGACCGCTCTGCTCTTATGCTTACTCGCTCATCCAAGCACTCGCTCACCTATTTATTCACTCGCGCACCCACTCACCTACTTGTTTACTCACGCACCCACTCACCTACTTATTTACTCACGCACCCACTCACCTACTCATTCACTCACGCACCCACTCACCTACTTATTCACTCACGTACCCACTCGCCTACTTATTCACTCACGCACCCACTCGCCTACTTATTCACTCATGCACCCACTCGCCTACTTATTCATTCACGCACCCACTCGCCTACTTATTCACTCACGCACCCACTCGCCTACTTATTCACTCACTCACGCACCCACTCGCCTACTTATTCACTTACGCACCCACTCGCCTACTTATTCACTCACGCACCCACTCACCTACTTATTCACTCACGCACCCACTCGCCTACTTATTCACTCACGCACCCACTCACCTACTTATTCACTCATGCACCCACTCACCTACTTATTCACTCACTCACGCACCCACTCGCCTACTTATTTACTCACGCACCCACTCACCTACTTATTTACTCACGCACCCACTCACCTACTTATTCACTCGTGCACCCACTCATCTACTTATTCACTCGTGCACCCACTCGCCTACTTATTCACTCACGCACCCACTCGCCTATTTATTCACTCACGCACCCACTCGCCTACTTATTCACTTACGCATCCACTCACCTACTTATTCACTCACTCACGCACCCACTCACCTACTTATTCACTCGTGCACCCACTCACCTACTTATTCACTCGTGCACCCACTCGCCTACTTATTCACTCACGCACCCACTCGCCTATTTATTCACTCACGCACCCACTCGCCTATTTATTCACTCACGCACCCACTCGCCTACTTATTCACTTACGCATCCACTCACCTACTTATTCACTCACTCACGCACCCACTCACCTACTTATTCACTCATGCACCTACTCGCCTACTTATTCACTCACGCACCCACTCACCTACTTATTCACTCACGCACCCACTCACACTGCTGCACTTGTGAATTCCCTCTCCAATCATCGCCGTCTCTTTTCCCAAGCTCTCATCATAACCTTGCTCAATTCTAGAAACGTAATTCTCTTATTTGTTACAACTTTGATAGTGATGTTTGTTGCTGGCATCTTGAGGTTTTCGGGGCCTTTAGTCCTGTGCTGAGCAATTTTGTGTAAAAAGTAAATAAAAGTATTCTCCCATGCTGGCCCAGATGGAGTGCCGTCGTGGCAAGATGTTAACTACCTCACCTTTTTGAGATGATAAATTCTTCCAAATCTCCAAATTCTGCTTCTTTCTCCTCCAGTCGTGAATTAAAATTCCCAGTTCCTCGTACGTTATCGTGACGGGGCAATCGTGGTTATTTTCAAGCCACTCCGCCAATCTTATGGAATTAAGTTATTGCTGCGCGTTATTGATTCTGGGAACACGCCTGTGTTGCGAGGGTATAAATATATGTACACATTAGCTCTGCCTTCTTGATGCTAAGCTAATGCATCTCGTGTCATTGTACATCTCCCCAGGTGAGCGCTGCGATTTTTTTACGTTATTAAATGGAATCTATTACATCAATGCAGAGTTAATGATAACTACATTTATCTGACAAGCGCATCCACGTGTGGTCTCTTGGAAATCGCCTGGTTGACATCAACCCCTGCGGAGTCGTGATTACATCAGTGTCATCTCCAGCTGACTCCAAATGCTTTTGGGACACAAGCCGAGCTTGTAATGGAGCTGGCTGCTCACTAAACAATGTGAAAATAAATTTAAACCAAGCAAAATACCAAGTGCTGCGACTTGATTTAGATTACCCTGCCACTACTCGGTGGCGAGGAGATGTTAACTGCCTCGCCTGGTATACAGCAGGTCGTGGGTTCAATCCCGACCCTTGCCGCCTGTATTTTGAGTTTGCACGTCCACTCTTCCTGTGGTCGTGTGGTATTTTTCTCCGGGTCCTCTGGCTTTTCCCTCCACATTTAGAAACATACGTCTACATTTCCACATTATAAGCCACTTCATTGATGGCCAGATCGTTTATGAAAAAGAGCAATATAGTTGAGTGGGCCTTACCTGGAATTAGCTGCATCAAGCATGATGACGGAGACTTGTGTTGCCTCCGAAACGTCGTGATTTTTGTTTTATTTTATTTTATTTTCATTAATTTTGATGTTTTACCTACGTGACTTTACCGAAAAAACCTAAGAATATGAATCCTTGCAGTCACGAAAGCTTCAAATCTAGAGTTAAGATCATGTTTTATAGGATTTTAACAGATTGCACGTTATTTGCAGATGCTATGAGCTCTTCCACACATCCCTCACAAAATGTTATCGTTTTGGAAGTCGTATAACTCACACACGTGAAGTGTCGCTCTATTCATAGTGCGGGCTACTCGCACATGTTCCAAGATGCCCTGGTCAGATTGGTGGAAGAATAGGCCAAGTACGCTGTCGTGGGGTTTTCCTGGGCCTCCCTCTGGTGCAGGCCCTTCCGCCAGCAGTAGCGGCATGAGTGAGTGATTGCACAGCTGCGCCTTTATCTTGTGGTCATACAAACGCATGCCCCATGTGCAGGATTGAACTGCGTCAAATTTACTCTCCAACGGAATGACCATCATAACGTTGTAAGGGGGATAACCTCTTAAGACTTTGTCCAATTTAAATATCGTTGTTTTTGGAACGCACGAAAGTTAACCAACTTAAAGGATTTCAAGCAAAATCCTTTACATCACCCCCAATGTCACAATCCGAAATAATTAATTGTTGTAACATTTATTTTCTCACGTGTCGGTTTACATTGTAGCTCGTGTGTGCAAGGTGTCTTGTCAGAAGGGCTACATATCCATGCACACGTCTCGGTACTGTATTCGATGTGACCTATGAAATCTGCTCGCTTACCCCGCACTGAATTTCGATTTAAAGCTTTCGTGACTGCCGGGACTTCATCTTCTTGGTTCTTTCGGTAAAGTCACGTAGAAGGGAAATAATAAAATAATGAAAATAAAACATAATAAAATACAATTCTCACGACGTTTCGGCCACAACACAAGCAGCCGTCCTCAGGTGAGGAACAGGGCTGTCGGAAAGACAGCCCTGTTCCTCACCTGAGGACGGCTGCTTGCGTTGTGGCCGAAACGTCGTGAGAATTGTATTTTATTATGTTTTATTTTCATTTTTATTATTTCCCTTCTACGTGACTTTACCGAAAGAACCAAGAAAATGTACCCCGCACTGCATAGCAGTTTTGATATCCTGTGGAATATTAATGAACGCTGTTGTTCATTAGCATGGGGCAGGTGGCCAAAACCTGTAACTCTTTCTTCCCTGCCTCGCCAGAAATAAATTTCCCCTGTTATCTCTTTCATTTCATGTCATCCCTGAAGCAGCAGTGATTTCATGTATTCCTATTACAGGTGCATCAAACAAAAATGACTGTGTGCGCGTGTGCGTGTTTGTAAGTGTACACGTGTACATCCAGCCAGTTGGCACAGCGGTGGAGTGAGCGGCGTGGTATCGCAAGGTTGCAAGTTCAAATTCAGGTCCATCCCCCCCCCCCCCCCTCCCTTGTGGGTATACTTTCCCCTGCCATAGTAATGAGCAGAAAATCACCTGGACTTTGAGTGCTGCAGTTAAAGCAATTTATTTGTAAGCGGTTGCTTGCAAGTCCAAATCCCGGTTGCCGGGTAGAATCATTTCATCATTTCTTTGGCTCAGCAAAAACAAGTACCGCTTTCTTGGGGATTCATCCGTGCTTGTCCTCTTTATATATATTGGGCCTTCCACAGGAACGTGGAGTTTCCACCATTGGATCACAGCTGCTGACAGATGACTAACCATCCTGTGGCATGCTTGAAACAAAGGGGGGGTGACACTTTGACTTGGCTTGACAAACACATAATTGACTTCATATACCCTCGCATACCTGTATATGTACGTTCATTTCCCATCATTATCCACACGTAAAGTAATGTAGGAATAATAATCTACTCTCTATTTTTCGATGTAAAGCTTTCGTGACTGCAGGGATTCATCTTCTTGGTTCTTTCGGTAAAGTCACGTAGAAGGGAAGTAATAAAATAATAAAAATAAAACATAACAAAATAATTCTCACGACGTTTCGGCCACAACGCAAGTAGCCGTCTTCAGGTGAAAACCAGGTCTGTTGAGGCGACAGCGTCGTGAGAATTATTTTATTGTTTTATTTTTATTATTTTATTACTTCCCTTCTACGTGACTTTACCGAAAGAACCAAGAAGATGAATCTACTCTCTGTTTATGGGCCACATGGAAGTTTGTCTTCTAAGGATCCTGTCCAAGCTTGGCACCAGAAGCTTTTATCCGGCGAGCAGCCTTGTGGCGCAGGAAGGCGCAATCTGATAAGTCGCCTGTTTGTGGTTAATACTGAGAATCCAAGCCGCTGTGCGGGACGCCGCGGCTGCTCATGCGAACGTTGTTGTGGGCGGGGTTTTTCTTTACTGCCAAAGCAGCAGCAGCAGCGCATGACCTGAACACCCACGAACTTGCCAAAGTTGTCACTTTCCCATGGCTGAAAGTAAATAAAAAAAAGTATTCAAAGGCTTTGAAAAAATAAACAGGTTTTTTATTTGGGTGGTTAAATAGTAAACTAATCATACACTTGTCGTGAATTTATACAGAGTGGCTGTAAACGGTGACATCCTTGGAATATTTTGGTTAAGGGCCGGCTGGCTGGCTGGCTGGCCGGATGCTGGGCGAGTGCTTGTGGGAAGTGCTCCAGAAATGGAATATCACACGCCGCGATGGAAGTCGCAGTCATTTTCAGTGCATTCCTAATAAGGTAACGTCACACGCGGTAAAACTAAACAAAAAAACGCCCAACATCTGAAGTCTGAGACCTGGTAACCAACCCTTCTCTCTCGGTCCTGGCAAACGTGTCACTTAATATCGCCGTGTTTGCAACAAGTCTACGGTAGAAATG